CAGGCTTGTTACAATCCCCCAAACCCATCACTCTTCGTCCCATGCCCTCACCCTCCAGATGGCGTCTCTACGCAGTCTGGGCCTGGACGTGATGAAAGGGCTGAAGAGGTTGCAACACCATTGCTCATCTTTATTACTCCTCTTCCCGCTCATCCCACCCTTCCATGCCCTCGCCCCTCGCAGATGGCAGCTCTGTGCAGTCTGGGCCTGAGCGTGGTGACTCTGGAGGGCGGGTGGCTCTGGAGAAGAACGCAGCCCCGTCTCCCTTATCTCTATTGCTCCTCCTCTTCCCCATCCCACCCTTACCGAAGACGACTCTGTGACGTCTGCTTTTGAGCGCAGTGAACGGGCAGGTGACTTCACCGGCAACATGTCGGTTTGCTCGCTGCTCTCCCCTCCTTGCCTTCCCGCCTTGCCCCTCATCCCACCCCTCCAGATGGCGGCTCTTCGCAGCCTGGGTCTCAACGTGGTGAAGGGGCGGGTGACGACCATCGGCAACGTTGCTCGCAACAAGTTCACCATCACGCAGGAGTGAGTAGGGGGGGGGGGGAGGGGGTGGGATGGCCAAGGGGGAAAGGGGAAAGGAAGTGAGGTTCGGGAAAGGACGACAGTAGTGAATAGGGTAACCACCACTGGCAGCGCAGTTCACCATCACTCAGGAGTGGGACGGGGTGGGAGGGGGGAGGGGTTGGCCAAAGGTGAAAGGGAGGGGAAAGGGGAGTGTAAGGGAAGAGGGGGGAGGAGGGTGTGTGTGTGGTGGGGGGAAAGGGAGGGCAAGGGCGAGGGGTAGTGAACAGACGGGCGGGCGGGTGACCACCATGGTCAGCGGTGCTGACAACAGGTTGGTATTACCCAGGATTGAGTGGCATCCCGTCCCGCGCATGCCATACGGATCTATGCAGTCCGTTCTCACCACACATGCCAACCCGTCCCATGTGCCATGCGCCTTATGCTCCAAGCAGGGGCGGCAAGGTGGAGAGAGCGGAGATGATTGAGGCCATCCGAGGCACCATCATCTCCAACCTCCTCAAGTACCACCCGGTGAGTGCGCTAGGTCTACCACCTGGTATGCACAAGGTATACCACCTGGTGAGTGCGCTAGTGAGTGTGTTGGTTACCACCCACTCATGCCATGCCATGTCATAATCAGGCCATCAGAGGCCATCAGAGGCCATCAGAGGCCATCAGAGGCCAGCAGAGGCACCATCATCATCAACCTCCTCAAGTAGCACCCGGTGAGTTTTTGAGTCGACTCAAAGCACCCGGTGTGCGCGCTGGTATGTTACTGGTCAGGCATTTGTTCTTGTCTGTCCGCACAGTATTTCTTTGGCCAGATGGTTACCAATCAGCCTGCCATTGAGAAGAGAAAGCGTCGTTGGTGTCATTGGGGTAACACCTCCATTCATGTTGCCGTCATCCTGCTGTGTAACACTCATGCTGTGTAACACTCATGCTGTGTAACACTCATGCTGTGTAACACTCATGTTCCTCTCCCCTCTCCCCCCATCGATGGCCGACTCTCATCAGCAAAAGCTCATCATTTCCGTGGATGTGGACACTCCACGTGTCCCCAGCCCAGACACCCTCTCGCGTTTTCCGCCGTATTTCCCTGCCTTCCCGCTCCCTCCCCTCCCCCCTTACTCTCCCGCCCCCCTGCCCCCATCTGTCACATCTGTGTATCAGGAGTCCGGCTCTCAGCTGGCGATGGGCCTCACGTGCGACTCGCCGCCTTGCAATGTGAGTTAGCGGCTCGAAGGGGGGAATGGGGTGGGTGGTGGGTGGTGGGTGATTGTGGGGAATGGTGTTAGACGAGGTTTGTGTGGATGTGCCTTGTGCCTCCCATGCTACTCGCCGCCTTGCATTGTGAGTCATTGGGTGGTGGTGGTGAATTGGGGGGGGTGGCGATGATAGAGCGTGGGAACTGGGTAGGGTGGTGTTGTGGCTTGGTGGAGACGTGTGGTTGTGCCATGGGCCGTGCAACTCCGATGCACGGGACGATTGAAGACCTGCAGTCTGGATTGTCCAACGTCTGGGGTTGGTGAAGCAGATGAAAGCGGGATACCTGAACTGTCGTCGCAAACGATGTGGAGGACCAGGGGAGGTGGGGGAAACCTACGAGCAGGCTGCTGGATTGTTAAAACAAGTCACTGTTCCCTAGACAATACGGACTGGAGGTGCAAAAAGCAGTTGGCTTGCGTAAGGGCAATAAGGGCAATAAGGGCAATAAGGGCATGCTGTGAACGAAGCAATTGGCAAAATGCCAATTTTAATCGAGTCAAACGAAGCCTTCGCCGGCCAACGTCAACGCAGACTGTAGCTCAGAGTTGTGCAACGTTGTGTTGTGTTGGTGTGTAATGAGTCTATTTTTTAGTCGACTCATTACACACAGGGTTGTGCAACGTTGTGTTGTGTTGGTGGAAATCCCTTCAGTACACGCAACCCTGGAGCGAGTCAGCGAGTTCAGCGAAGGCTGGCCAAAAAGTGGGTCAGTTCGTGGCTCGCCATCCAATCATTCCCTTCCCCCCACTTTCAATTGTTAAACTTTTGGACAATCTGGACCGCAGGCTTTAAGGCATCCCCCTCCCTCACATTCCGCCAAGCTACATTCCCCGCGTGCTAGACTCCCCCGTGCTAGATTCCCCCAATCTACATTCCCCGCGTGCTAGACTCCCCCGTGCTAGATTCCCCAAGCTACATTCCCCGCGTGCTAGACTCCCCCGTGCTAGATTCCCCCAAGCTACATTCCCCGCGTGCTAGACTCCCCCGTGCTAGATTCCCCCAAGCTACATTCCCCGCGTGCTAGACTCCCCCGTGCTAGATTCCCCCAAGCTACATTCCCCGCGTGCTAGACTCCCCCGAGCAAGGTTGCAACACACCAGGGTCCCACACCCCTACCAGACCGTACCTGCACCTGCACCTGAGGGAGCAGACGGACCGAGCCTGGTGCAAGGTTCTGCCATTGGTCTCCTCTCCCCCAGTCTTGTCCGTTCCCCCTCCTCCCCTCCCCCAACCCGCAGCCAGAAATCATCACACGCCTCTCCTTGACTCCTCTCCTTGACTCCTCTCCTTGACTCCTCCTCTCCCACCAGGCGCCACACGGGAAGAGAGCTGGTGGAGGCGGCAGACCGGCCAGGTCTGCTGATGAAGATAGTGGGCGTGCTCTTGAAGCAACCCCCCCTTTCTCCCCCTATTTTCTGTTTTCCCCTCCACCCTCCGCAACACTGCAGCCAGGGAAAGCCACACGCCTCTCCCTCACACCTCTACCAGAGATTAGAATTCTCAAAATTCGATCGCCAAGCACCTCTCCCTCACACCGCTACCAGAGGTTTTTGAGAGTTCGCGAAAATCAATCTCCACTGGCATCGAGATTCGAGCTGAGGATGGAAGCGGAAGACAGACCGCGGAGCGACCTGCTGATGGAGACAGTGGGCGAGGGCGTGCCTTCGAAATAACCCCTCCTCTCGCAAACTCTTGCCTGTTCTCCCCCTCCCCTCCCCTCCCCCTTCCAACCGGCAGCCGGGGATCCCAACACGCCTGTCGCTTACACCTCTGCCAGACGCCACCGGTAGCAAGTTGAGGGTGGAGGCGGCGGACAGACCAGGGCTGCTGATGGAGATAGTGGACGTCCTGGGAGGGATGTCTGTCAGTGTGACGTCAGCTGAGATCGACACCGAGGTGAGGGTGATGTCAGCATAAATCGACACCGAGGTGAGAGTGACGTCAGCATAAATCGACACCGAGGTGGGGATGACGCCAGCAGTTTCCACTATAGTTTCTGCACATAGTGGTTTCGTGTACCCTCTCCCACACGACTGTTCTACTCATGCAAGCTGTTCTACGGTGTGTTTTGTTGTCTTGTGCACCCATCTCCTACGCACCATGTATCATGCGCCCACGTCTTTGCAGGGAGTGGTGGCGAAGGATGTGTTCACCGTGTCGTACCACGCTCAGCCGTTTTCTTGTATATTCACCATCCCCCATCCCCCATCCCCATCTCCCATCTCTCATGCGCCCACGTCTTTGCAGGGAGTGGTGGCAAAGGATGTGTTCACAGTGTCGTACCATGGGGGGCCGCTGGACGAAGAGATGACCACGGTGAGATGAGATGACCAACAACACGCTCCTTTTTTTCGCGCCCCAGTGTTACTCAATCGCTTCAGTGTTACTCACTCTTCCTCCCCTCCCAGTGCATCCCTCCTGGCTAACTCTCCACGCCCTTAATCACAGTCCTTTCCCCCCTCCCCTCCTCCCTCTCCCTCGCCCACCTTGCTCCCAGCTGACTCTCAACGCCCTCAACTACACTCTCTCTCGGCCAGACATCGAGGCGGAGGAGAGCTACTAGTGTCTTGACTTGAGGCACCTTATAACGAGGCGGAGGAGAGCTGCTAGTGTCTTGACTTGAGGCACCTTATAACGAGGCAGAGGAGAGCTGCTAGTGTCTTGACTTGTGGCACCTTTTAACGAGGCGGAGGAGAGCTACTAGTGTCTTGCCTTGAGGCACCTTATGTGAAGGCAGAGGAGAGCATCTAGTGTCTTGCCTCGAGGCACTTTATAACGAGGCTGAGGAGAGCATCTTGTCTCGAGGCTCCTTTTTTAGGCTGAGGGGGCTACTTCTGTAAACTTCAAATATGACATCGACTTCACAGGGGCGACATGGGCCTCCGTTGATGGTCGTCTGTAATTATGATTGAAACGTCTCATCACATAACATCCCGCTTTCAACAGACACTGCGGTAAGCCCCGTCAGATGTGACATGAGGAAAGGCCACTACCGTACCCTGGCAGTTGGTGAGCTCTCACAGTACTGACATGGAACAGAGGTGAGTCAGTGCAATTTTGGTAACATGGTCGTACGGTAGTAGAGAATAACAGGCACGATGGATGAGATGGAGGAATGTCGAGAAGGCAATGGAACAGTGGTAACAAATCCTTACAAGCTGAAAATAGTGCTCACTACTATTTCGACATGAATACTCTCAAACAGCCAGCAGCACATGAGTTAAAAAATCCGGCATTTTTTAGTCCATTAACTGTCAGAAGCTTGGCAGCAGCAGCAGCAGCAGCAGGAGCACCTAGAGGCACACCCATCCACCTGTGAGCGCTGCTGCTGCGGCCAAGCTCTGGCAGTAATGGAGAACAGGAAACCCCCATAGCCTCCTACCGCAACACTAGGGTGACCCGTGGAGGGTGACTCGTTGATGCCATCCCCAGTACCCGCATTAGGATGATGCCACCCTCCAAACGGAGTCATCTCGTCGTTTCTTTTAACGCCCCATGCCTCCACCCATACCACCATCCATTGCCCCCCCAGGACTCATGGCTGCTTCTGAGCCTGGAGAATATGACCCTGGTCTGCCCATGCCTCCACCCATGTTGCCGCCGGACCCCCCCATTCCTCCGCCCATCCCAGGTCCGCCCTGTCCGGGTGCTGCCTGCGACCCCGGAGCAAACAACCCGGAGCCGTCCATGCCTCTGCCACCCAATCCGTCGCCGCCCATTCCGCCGCCACCCATTCCGCCACCACCCATTCCGCTGCCGCCCATTCCGCCGCCGCCCATTCCGCCGCCACCCATCCCACCGCCGCCCATTCCACCGCCACTCATTCCGCCACCGCCCATTCCGCCACCGCCCATTCCGCCGCCACCCATTCCGCCACCACCCATTCCGCCGCCGCCCATTCCGCCGCCGCCCATTCCGCCGCCACCCATTCCGCCACCACCCATTCCGCCGCCGCCCATTGCGCCGCCGCCCATTCCGCCGCCGCCAATTCCGTCGCCACCTATTCCACCGCCGCCAATTCCGCCGCCGCCCATTCCGCCGCCACCCATTCCGCCACCGCTCATTCCGCCACCACCCGTTCCGCCTCCGCCCATCCCTCCGCCGCCCATCCCTCCGTCGCCCATTCCGCCGCCGCCCATTCCACCGGCACCCGTTCCGCCTCCGCCCATTCCGCCGCCGCCCATTCCTCCACCACCCATTCCGCCGCCACCCATTCCGCGCCACCGCCAATTCCGCCGCCACCCGTTTCGCCACCGCCAATTCCGCCGCCACCCGTTCCGCCTCCGCCCATCCCTCCGTCGCCCATTCCTCCGCCGCCCATTCCGCCGCCGTCCATTACGCCACCACCCATTCCGCCGCCGCCCATTCCGTTGCCGCCCATTCCTCCACCGCCCATTCCACTGCCGCCCATTTCTCCGCCGCCCATTCCGCCGCCGCCCATTCCTCCACCACCCATTCCGCCGCTGCCCATTCCGCCGCCACCCATTCCGCCACCGCCAATTCCGCCGCCACCCGTTTCGCCACCGTCAATTGCGCCGCCACCCGTTCCGCCTCCGCCCATCCCTCCGTCGCCCCGCCCATTACGCCACCATCCATTCCGCCGCCGCCCATTCCGTTGCCACCCATTCCTCCACCGCCCATTCCGCCGCCGCCCATTCCGCTGCCGCCCATTCCTCCACCACCCATTCCACCGCCCTGCTGCTGCTGCTGGCCTGTCGAGCGTCCGCCTTGCGCCTTTCCGCGCATCATTCCGCGCAGCTTGTCCACAGGGAGCCCCGTCGAGAAGCGTAAGGCCAACGAGGCGTGGAGAGAGGAGAACAGGACGAGGGAGAGGAGGAGAAGGGCCGTGCTAAGGCTACGGCGAAGATGGTGGCTCGGCGAGAAAGACACTCTCTCCGCCATTGCGCTGGAGCTGCTGAAAGAGAACGAAAGTGTCGCGAGCTACTAGAATCTTTTCCCAACCAGGAAGAGTTGTGCCGAGAGAGAAATCAGTCAATTTCTGTCTGCAGGTTGAAGCTGAATGAATGGCTGAACGAATTGCCACATTTTGTATCCTCAGCGCGTCGCGAGTCCTTCGGAAATCGCGAGCAGGGCTCTCGCTAGGTTTTCTCCCACCTCGGACGATCCGAGCCCCACGAAAAATCACTCTGTAAAATCCGACTTCGTAAAAAAACTACCCTGATTCTTCAGGGTCTGCGTTCGAAAAAGCCTGATAGAGAGTTGGCAGTTTTTGTTGAACGAGACATAGGGGTTGCGAGTGGGAGAGCTTCGGGTTGGGAAATCCGCCACCACAGACGCACCTGTGAAGAAGCTAAATTTGGGCCAAGAGGGCCAGGGAGAAGGGGGGTGGGGGGAAGGGCTGGGGCGATTTTGAGTGGCATGAACATCTGTTCGTGGCTGCTCATTTTAAAACCTGCTGCTAAGTGACCATTGATGCGGAAATACAGGTGTTCTAGCTCCTTGGCACCTTAGGGCGTGGTTCATTTCCCAAGAAACATTCGTTTGAATGCTTACCGCACTTAATCGTATAAAAAACCGACAGCAACACACAGAAACGTACAGGAACCATGGCAATATTCGAGTTTAAGCTATTCGATCCCTGCCGTTATACAACTTTCCCCAAGTTTGGGAAAGGGAAGGGTGAGGCTAAGGGGGGAAAGGGAGGACTGGGGACCTTGAGATATTCCCACACCTTCTGGAGGCTACACTGGTGTCCGGTCCAGGTCCTCCCAAAATCCTCCCGGACTCTACAGGTGAGTAGGGAACTCTTCATGAGTTTTTCAGGGCTGGGAATATCTCGGTCGAAAAACACAGCGTCGGTCGAAAAATAACCTGGATTTCCAGTCAATTCAGAATAATTACCCTGTTAACACGTGCCCTAATCGCGAGGCCTTCGTTCATGTAGTGCATGGCTCGGCCGGTCAAACAATGGACCAAGGAGCGGAAGCCACAAGTCAACGAAACGTTGACATGGATATGTTTACAAAACATTCCGTAGACGCAATAACACAGTTTAATTATGTAGAATTGAACCACATGTTTAGGATGGCCAGGATTTAGAATTGGTGGAACCACAAGTAAAAGTCAAGAGAAGACTGTACGTACACACTGTATTGGAAATGTCTGAAATGACAAGGATAATAATAATGGGTAATACAGATATATTTATAGTATAGGAATGATCTATTCGAAATGTACCTGTTCGTAGTGTATCGCGACTTTTCGTGTGACATGACTAGTGCATGTTCGTATGACAGAGTGGCACTGGCACATACGAACCTACTGTTAACGCGTTGGCTCGCTACTGCTTATCAGAATGAGAGAAAAGAATGGTTGAGTAGTGGGAGAGTACAGATAGATATACCTAAGTATTGTACCCTCTAAGAGGTGACCCTATATAGTTTATGCAAACATAACAATTACACATGTTTGACACACCCCCTAGACTGCATAGGGGAATGTCCTGAACAAGCAGCTCAGAGCGGCACTACTAGTCCAACCTCTGAGACAAGGGTCTAAAAGACCAGTCAGAAGGAGTACAGACAAGGCAAGAACAAGACCAGGGCGGCACTACTAGTCCAGCCACTGGGAGAGGACACAAGTCCCGTCTGAGTATACATATAAAGGACAGTACAAAGTCAAGGCCCTAGCAAGTGAGAGGCTACAGGGACTAGACCAAGCTGTACGCAGTGCCGCTGATGATCTTTAGGCGCAAGCGCCTTCGTAAAGATATCAGCTGTATTGGCACCGGAGGCCAAGTGTACTACGCGCACCTGGCGACGCTGCTGCAGCTCACGCAGGAGGAAGTACCGCAGCTGAATGTGCTTCGCTCTGCCCTCGAGTCGAGGCTCCAGACACAGGAGGATCATGGCCCTGTTGTCAGCGAACACGACCGGGGCAAAGCTAGGCCGCTCACCTAAGTCAGTGAGCAAGAAGGTCAGCCAGCGGAGCTCCTGTGCCGCCATGGCACCAGCGTAGATCTCGGCCTCACAGCTGGACTGAGCAACAGACGAGGAGCGGGTAGCTCTCCACGAGACGGCATCTGAGCCAAGGCTGAAGCAGTAGCCCTGGGTAGACCTGAGTGTCTCGGCGTCGTCTGCCCACGAAGCGTCGGTGTGTCTAGTAAGGACCATTGGCCTGCGTCCTCCTAGCACTAACCCCATGCCTGATGTACTAGCAAGATAACGCAAAACCCTCTTAGCGGCAGACCAGTGCTGCGGTCGGTGTCTGCTTGTGGCCACAAAGCGAGCCAGGATGCTGAGAGGGTATGCGAGATCTGGGCGAGTGCAAGTCATCAGGTACATGAGGCAACCCACCAGCTCTGCGTAGGGGCCGCTGGGCTCAACCGATTCCTCAGACACTGGAGCGGGGAGTCTGTGGTCTACAGGCAGAGGGGTGGGCTGTGCAGAGGAGAACTGAAGGCTGAACCTCTGAAGGACCTGGCGCACCAAGTGTGACTGACTCAGGGTGATGGTGTGTGCTGCTCTGTCCCTGGAGAACTGCAAGCCAAGGTAACGGCGCAGTTCTCCAAGGTCAGTGCACGTGTGTCTCTTCAGCAGCTCTGCCTTCACGGAGGCCAGTGCGTCCCTGTCTGCTGTGGCAAAGACCAGGTCGTCGACGTAAACAAGGATGTAGAACGGAGTCTGGCCAGCACGAACGAAGAGTGAGGGGTCTGCGGAAGACGGAAAGAACTGCAGGTCAGCAAGCGTAGCACGGAGAGTGTCGTGCCACTCACGGGGAGCCTGGCGCAGGCCGTAGACGGGGCGCCGCAGGAGCCACTGGGTCCCAGGAGGGAAGGTGCCAGTAAAGCCCTGAGGGCGACGCAAGTAACCTGCTCGTGTAGGCTGCCCTGTAGGAAGGCAGTGGAGAAGTCGAGGGAGTGAAGCTCGTAGTCGCGCTGAGCAGCTAGGTGTAGCAGGACCCGAAGAGTAGTCATCTTTGGGGTCGGGGCGAAGGTCTGGAAGAAGTCCACCCCCTCACGCTGACTGAAGCCTCTAGCCACGTAGCGCGCCTTGAACATAGGCGGCTCTCCAGGAGGGCGCTTCACCTTGAAGAGCCAGCGGCCATCGACTACATTCACCCCAGCCGGGGGAACTGCGTCGACGAAGGTGCCGGTGGATCTCCAAGATGCCATCTCCTGCTCCATGGCAGCTATCCACTGCGAGGCCCAAGGTCCCGAGGTCGCCTCAGCGTAAGTGCGAGGGGTCGGGATGTCGAAAGCGTCTGGGTCACCCTCAGGGACTAGCAGCATGGAACAGAGATGGGAGCAGCCTCGGACAGGAAAGCAAGCTCGAACTGGCGGTCCTCCAGGACGTCACTGCCAAGGGCAGGAGCACCCCCGACAGACGGAGGACAGGCAGGGTCCGAGACCAGAGCGGTGGCGTAGTCAAGGCGGCGGGTAGAGGCGAAGTCAGCGACCGCAGCTACAAGAGCGTCAAGGCACGAGGCCGGAACAGACGGGTCGGTAACGAGAGAGGCAAGCACCCGGGGAACAAGAGGACGAGCGGCACGAAGGTAGTCAGACAGCGGGGGGGTTGCAACAACAAGGGAGGATGGAGGAGGCGACGGCAGAAGGGGAGGACGAGACGCGTGGGAACGAAGCAACATAGGGTGGGAGCGCAAGACAGGGGAGGCAGGACGAGCACGGGAGGGACGGTGAGACCAGACATGCGACGGAGGAGTTGGGTCAGGAGACAGGGGAGGGGACACAGGAGGGGAACGAGGGGGAAGACAGGCCGGGGACGAGTCCGGCGGAGGGAACACAGGGCCGTAGACGAGAAGAGGAGGAGACGGGCGGAGAGGAACAGCCGCAGGGTCAGGGGACGGAAGGCCGAGCAGGCGAAGGGCGGACACCGGCGGGGACTGCTGCTCCGGCGGCACAACGGCGACACCGGGACTGCAAGCTGCTCCTCGGCTACCACCGGCACACTCCACTCCAGCACCCCCAGAGGAACCACCCCCAGGGCTACCGGTACTAGCACCCCCAGAGTCAGCGAACGGGTGCTGCGACAGCGGCGGCGGCGGCGGCAGCGACTCCGACGGGTGCAGCGGCGGCAGAGGCGGTGGAGGAGGGACTGGGAGGGGACGCCGGTGGAGGGGCGGCCGGCAAGGATTGCGCAGCAGGGCCACCAGAGTCAGAAGACTCCTCAACCGGGTCCACCGACGGAAGGGGGGTGACGTGGGACACACCAGAGGGGGCAGGACGGGGAAGAGGAG